CCATGCCAAATGAGTAAACGACTACCCTCATCCGTTTGAAAATTGATGGCGATTTTTTCTACGATCGGGGGGCTTGAAAAACTATCTCTTAAATTTTTTCAGATTTTTTCGACAGACCAGTTCGGAGATATGATTTTTTGAAATTTTATCCGTTTTTTTTCATTAACTCGAATTCTACTTATCCGATTTAACTTTATTAGGGGTAAAAATTTGCCATTTTTCATCACCTGTAAGAATATTCTTAGCAAAGATTTTTTTTTAATTTCTAAATACTCAAAATAACGAATTTTCAAAAAAAAGTTGAAAAAGTTGAATTTTGCAAATTATGTCACGATTGATTTTTTTCATATTTTTTCCATTAATTCTTATAATCAAACCGAGTATCTTGAGCCGTCATACATGTTGGGTTCCGTCCGAGATCTATTTTATTTTAAATTTTTTCCCTTCAAAATTCCGCAAATTTGGTGAAAACATCCCAAAACGACTTTGATTATGTATCGAAAAAATATGTAATATATAGGTATACATTTAAATTGACTGCATACTGTTTATAATCAAGGTCAATCAACGCGCTTTTGGGGTATTTCGAGCGAATTCGCGGAGTTTCGAAAAGAAAAAATTAAAAATAAAATAGATCCGGAACGAAACCCAACATGTATGACGGCTCAAATACTCGATTTTATTATAAGAATTACTGAATTTTTTTTTTTAATCAATCGTGACGTAATCAGCAAAATTCACCTTTTTCAACTTTTTTTTTCGAAAATTTGTTATTTTGAGCATTTAGAGATTGGAAACAAATTTTTACTAAAATTATTCTTATAGGTGGTGAAAAATTGAAAATTTTAACCCTTAATAAATCGGAGTCGAACGAATAGAACTCGAGTTATTGAATAAAAACGGATAAAATTTTAAAAAATCATATCTCCGAACTGGGCTCCGAAAAAATCTGAGAGATAGTTTTTCAAGCCCCCTAATCGTAGAAAAAATCGCACATCAATTTCCAAGAGGGTGAGGGTCATCCGTTCACTCATTTGGCATGAAAAACCTCATGTATGTAGATGCATAATGACGGGTATAACTAATTTCTACACAAAGAGAATATAAACTTAAAAAATACAACGTGAACATAGTTATCGAGGACCATACCAAAACAACTTTAAAATTTGATTGATCTTAACCGAATTTTTACTCGTACCAAATCAAATTTTACTTTTATTCTACCACTTTGTGCTATACCGGCTCGCAATTTTTACTATGTTCCCATAGTAAAAATTCATGTTATATTTTGCCGTGTAATTTGCAACAGCCAAGAAATAACAAAAATAGTTTCATCTATATAGAGATGAAAAATGACCGTGATTTTTATTTCAAAATGCACTCGAGACTAATACAAAATGAATTAAAATAAAAATTGATTTACAAAAAACGATTGTTTTATTTTTTTGGAAAATTGGAACGGTCATAGAAGGAAGGGGGGAAATTGTGATAACTGTCATAAACGCCTCGTCATTTGATGGGTCATGTGACGTATTTACACCTCAAAGACGAGGATAACTTGTTTATGACAAGAATGTGATTTTTGAAAGCAACTCTAGTTGGATCAATTTATTCAATACCATTAAGTGTCAAATCCAAAATATTTTAATGTAAAAACCACTTGATTTGGTTCGCGAAGTTGTTCCCTTCTTGCTGTGAACAAATTGGCCCCTCATCTTTCGGACGAGTACAAAATCTCTTGACAAAATTTGAAATATTTTCTTCTTGTCAATTTTCAAGCCATGAGTTTCTTATTATAAGTAAAGACGTACTTCTCAAAAAAACTTTTTCGTGTCACGGGATCTGAAAATTAATATACACATCTCGCCATGGAAGACATATCATCCTCCCCCACATGCTTGCCATCCTCGCCTTCGGCTCGGAAGGCAATCTTGCACGTGGGGGACGGTGATCTGTTTTCCAAGGCTCGGGCATGTAATGTACTATTTTTCTCAATGTAGTTGCTATTGCATACTTCGAAAACAGGAATTTGGAAATCCTTACGGAAAAATTTTGTCCTGAGCTGTTGCGATGGGATTTTTTCACTCGTGCGATTGACCAGTTTTCCGCGTCATCTTTTACACCAACTCCACACGAGTGAAAAACCTCATCGCAACAATTCGGGTGAATGCTAATAAAATGGAAAAAACTATTGATATTACGTAATAAATTTTGCCCAACAAGAATTTTATACCCAGGACAATTTTCTGTACCTCTACACAGAGAAAACCGTTTAGGAGATCCAAACATGGTTCTAAAATTCCAGTTCTTATCTCATAATTTGGAAACGATTTTTCATTGTTGGAGAAAATAATAACAGGCAATTCAGGGAAATTCTGCTTTGAATTTTAAAAATACAACCCCTTTTGCTTCAATAATTTCGGAAATATAGCTGAAATTTAAATTACGATGTTTCGTGTAAAAAGCCAAAATGATGAAAAAAACGGGAAATTCGTAAAAGAAATATTCCAATATGCTGCATCATTGGGAATTTTTTTGTAATTTTGTTTATTCTCGGCACTCAAGAAAAAAAATAATGAAATTTGAGTAATTTATAAGCCCTCCAGCTATATTACTCGAGATTCCCTCACTTTTCATATCTCCCAGAAAAATAATGAATTATTGAATGAAAACTCATGGCTTATAACTCAAATCTTGCTAGAAAGTACATAGACCTTTTCATTCTGGAAATCTAGGGGAAATATTTATTCCGTACGTCAAACTAAAAAATCTCCGGAAAAATGATGAAATATTTTGATATTTACATTTAAGATGATGGATCTTTGAGCCTTCAAAAATGAGGATTTATATTTGAATTCGGTCTAAGTATCCGAAACTCCTAGGGGGAATTAATATGGGAAAACAGTGTCTGAAAATCTAGTGACTATCAGAATGAAAAGGTCTATTTCGTGAGAAGACTCGGTAAACCGCGATTCTAACCTCGCTGCGCTCAGTTTGATCACGGTTTACGGGCCTTCTGACGAAAAATTGCATTCATCACACGGTCCAAAAGTATTTTCAGACGAATGTGATTATAGGCCTCGCCTTCGGCTCGGCCTACAAAGCCACATTCGTCAGAAAAAACTTTGTGGACCTTGTGATGAAAATAACTATTGCTGGAGCATCATGGAAGAGATGTAGGTTAGATCATGGAACTGAGAGAGAGAAAACACTCCGCAGGTTCGCCAACTCAATATAACCATAGGAGTGATTCGTGCGACATTGGGTGCGTTTCGGAATCAACTACCGTAGCTGCAGTAAAGCAAAATTAGATAGGGTTGCAGTACTGCTACTGCTACTACGTCGATTGCGAAACGCGCCCATTGACATGTCTCTGATACATTTTAATATCGCTTCAATAATTAGAAAACATCCAATAATAATATTTTGGCGCTCGTAACTGATGGAGAAAAATAGATCAATCTGACAAAAAATAATAATATTCAAGTAATGTTCAAATGCACACTGAAATATTTACTTGAAAATTGAAAATTTTTGGCGTTCAAGAATGGAATTGGTGCTCGAGAACAATGAGACCCCTTCCGTTGCGCTCCGCGGAGAAATACAGATGACACATCTTCTTTTAAGAACAAATTTGCAGAATGACTCAAAAAATACTGGAGCAAAACCACCGTTTTTTAAGAATTGGGGTAGGATTCCCCAATCTCTTCAAGACCACCAGTTGTAACTTTCGATTTTATAAATTTTCTCAAACATGAAAAATTGTTCTCAAGACAAAATCTTGTTCTTGATCTCTGAAACTTCTTTTACACGGAGAGAAATATTCAATAAAAATTACGTATCTTTTCCATAATTCCGGAGCGAAATGTGGTTGTAGGAAAGTTTACGGAACTGTCACGAAATTCTTCCAGAGCGTTCCATAATTTTTACTTGAATCTCCTGTGAAAAATTACGATACCGTGACTTAAATTTTCTGAGTCGATTCCGTAATCGGTGAGCGAACTGTGAGTTCCGTAATTTTTACTGCACATTTCTCTCCGTATATAGCACACGAAATTCAGGGAATACCTTCAAATATCTAAATTACTGTATAATACAGCCGAGAAAATTTCCTGAGTTGTTGGAATCAACGGGGCACTTCCGGAAAATATCAGAGAGCAAAATTTTTCCAATACTACACGACGATGAATAAAAATATCAGTATGATGTTTACTCAAGTAAATAAAAATCACATGATCAGGTTCTTTATCCAAAGCTGACGACACATTCAGTTACTTCTTATCAATGCGTTTGCACAACGACGTTGGACAGTCATAACTTGACATAGCAAGTTTTCCAATACAAGCGATAGAAGAATTGAACTCAATATGAGTTTAATGGGAAAAAAATTACATAAGTCTTTGTAATTTTTGCTGACTATTGCCCTATTTCGTGAATACGCAATGCTATGAGAACCAATCGGAAATTTTTTTTTTTGTAGAAGACTTTACGGAGCTCAAAATGTTTGCAACATTTTGTCAGAATTTTATGCGATACCGGGATATTTCCTTAAATATGAAGAATTTGATATTGAAGCCATTGACTCTAGAACCTCTACAAATCATCGCATAAAAAATTGGAGATATGACTCTCTTCTTCTGCCCTAATCACGCCTCCAATGAAATCTTCTGGTATTTAAATCTTGAACCACATATTTCCAGAATAATTACCTGCTAAGCAGAAAAATTGTAGCCAACTTTCAATGAAAAAGAGACTCAGTAATTCAAAGAATCCATACACAATTGGAAGATTTGTGAAAAATATGTCTTCTCTTTAAATCCGCCCCCTCCCCCCCCGCACCGGGGTCAATCGAAAAAGTGTTGAAAAAAGAATTGTTGACCTTCAGCAACCGAACTACATATAATAACATAGCATGACATCATTTAATGACTCGCCCCGTTTACTTTGTGAATTTCTCTCGGTTCGAACAGCAGTTTTTCACGGTGAATATTTTTGGATACCTGAGATAGTTGGCCCTGGCCCGTTGCGCTGGAGGAAGAGTTACGTTGATCACGGGAGGGTGGGGCATTGTCGCGCCTCGTCCAGTCTATTCCCGGGGTAGTCGGTTGGCCGCACTTAACCGCGCTCGGTATCGACGACTGCGCGCTGTCGACGGCATTTTTATTTGGACCGTTGTTACGACCACCCTAAAATTCAAAAAATAATTTTTAACATTTATCAACTGGCAATGAGTGAGTGAGCTGAAAAGAATTATGAATATTTTCTGAATTTCCATGGGATCAGAGAAGAGCCCTTTCGACATCAGTCACTTGAGGATAACCAAGTATTTTTTACAGTTTGGTACAGACCACACTATAGATTCAACCATTTTCTATCATTAAATTTGTCAATTAAATTGCGTGAGAAAAATTTGAAAAAAAAATCATAAATATCCAGCGCCATTTAAATGACATATTGTACAGAATTATTAGTTTTTTAAACATTCGTTATTTATAAATAAATACGGAAACCTAATTTTTTTAGGCATGAAATCGATTACTAGTAAAATTCTGAATATGAATAAATTTGATTTTTATGGTGGAAAAATGATTGTTTATAAATTATTTCAATTATTTCATCAATCTTCCCCTAAAAGTAGACTTTCTAATTTTTTTTCAGATTTTTAAAATGTTTTCAAACGGTTCAATTTCAACATTCAAATTGAGACAGCGAAGTTTAAATAATAAAATCATTGTAAAATGTCCGGAAGTTTTCACTTATCTCAGAAAATTTTTCCTTAAATTTCAAAGAGAAAACTCAACTTAAGCTAAGTCCATGTTCTCTTATTTTAAAAGAATCTTGATTTAAGAATTCAGAATTTTTGGATTCTTGAATTAAGGTATAGGATACCAAACCAATCCAACCCAAAAGTTAGTCTCTATGGATTTCCGGAAAAAATTCTAAATGACTTAATTTATTTCATTCTCATAAGTTATTGAGTTTTTCTGTTCTCATGTGTTGTTGATGCAAGCAACAATAACTGTTTGAATTAAATAAGAAATTATTTGTTAATTAATTATTTGAATCAAATAAGAAATGCTTTCACGAAATTTACATTTATTTACAAACTAAATTGCGTGAGAAATTTTTTTTAAAAAATCAAACATATTCAGCGCTATTCAAATTATATTTTGTACAGAATTGTTAGCTTTTGAAACATTCATTGTTTATAAATCCATAATTGAATTCGATTTCTGGTAAAATTCTGAATATGAATAAATTTGTTACGATTCGGAAGAACTGATTTTTATGGTGGAAAAGTGGTTGTTTATAAATTATTTATGGAAAATGTTCGTATAATTTTCAAAAATTGCAATTTTTCAATTATTTCATCAATCTTCCCCTCAAAGTAAACTTTATATTTTTTTTCAGATTTTTAAAATGTTTTCAAACGGTTCAATATCAAGATTCAAATTTAGACCTGCAAAGTTTAAATAATAAAATCATTGCAAAATGTCCGGAAACTTAGGGTCAAATGGGGCACAAATGAAAGCTGTGATGTTCGACTACAAAAGTAGAAAAGCATTTCATTGGAGAAAAAATGGCCAAAGTACTTGGATATTCTTAATTAATAAAAATATTGTGGAATTTCTGATATTTTTCAAATCGAAAGATGACGAATTCAATAATTTTTATACAATAATGGAAAAATTTTTGAATCATTGTTTTGAAGGAATAATAAATTTCGGAAACTCATGCGTTTAGAGAGAATTGCTACAAGAATTTTGGGCAACAGAAACAATCATCAACGAAAAAGGTCCGTTGAAAAATTTCTCAAAATCCATTTCTTGAGAACAGATTTGCAAATACGAAGAAAAATTCATTTGAGAATAAGTAGAGTAATCAGTTGGGAAATTGTATATATCTTGTGTTGTAAACATATGAAACCTGTAGGATAGGAGAACGTTGTGAGAATATTTCCGTAGTTCATCAAATTTCCAGAAAAAATAATATCTTGAGGAATTCCCCCCTAAACCGTTGTCTACCAAGACATTCCTACACTGAGAAGACAAGAGTTTTTTGAGACGTACGTCTTTTCTTGTGTCAAAAAATTTATGGCTCGAAAATTACCAAGCGCTCCACAATATTTCACACTAAAAAAAGCAAAAAACAAAATGTTACGCCAAGAAAGTTTATACTTGTCCAAAAGATGAGGGCAATTGGTTGATACTAAGAAAACGAGTTCTTAAATCAGTTCAAGCGGTTATTGCATTAAAATATTTAAGAATTGAGGCTAAAAAACTATTAAATGAACTAATTCAATTTTATTTGGGTTGAGAAATCGCTTTTTTGTTATCAAGAAATTGTCCTCGTCTTCAGGACAAGTACAAAATTTCTTGAATAAAGATTTTTTTTTCTTAGTGCAAGATACTTTGCTCTTGAAAATTTTCAAGCCACGAGTTTCTTGATATAAGTAAAGACATACTTCTCAACAAACTCTGTTTTTCTCAGTGTAAAGTATAAAATATTTGTTCGTCTTACGTTAATCGTTTGTCTTTAAAAAATTTACTCTGGAATTTTCCTTTTATTATGTACAATGGTTGATTCACGATACTAATAAAATGAACTCTTGAAGTTTTTCGTATTATAAGTAGTACAAATTTATTATCATGAATTGACTCATGGAATTCAAATAAAATGTTTCTAATTCTCGACAAACTCTTTGCGTTGATATTTTTCTCTTCCTCGCAAAAAAGCTTGCTGAAGCGATTTTATCATTCATACCTTCAAGAACAGCATTTTCACAGATTAGAATGAGTGCGTGCATCTTTCTACGTTATCACAATATTTGGATTGATTGGGATTAGATAGGAAATCATAAACGCTGACTGTCAACAAATTCCTAAACATGGCGGTAAGTATAATGTTCTCGGATAAAAATTAGTAGTTACAGTCGGTAAAACATTAGAGGTTGACCTTCAAAAAGTCCACGTTAGACTCGTCACCAATTGAATCAGCATGAGAATGGACAGAAATGATAAAGAAAAACCTCACAGTAATCTCTACCGTAATGAATAAGTAATGAGAAGAAATTTAGAAATGTATAATTATTGTGAAAAATGTTGCTTCTGCATGTTGACCTTTAATACTCTGGCTGCCGTCGATATCACAGGCATAACGCTGGGAAGAATTTAATACTGTTCCTCTCACACGGGCAGAAACAGATGGTAATGCAGACACCGTACAGACCACTTTTTAGGGACTCCAAAAACGCAATCTCCATTTCCCCCATTAAACGTGGAAATAAATGTTGTTATTCTCCTGTCATCTGAACCGTTAGAAATTGTTGAAAGCACTTGGAATCATTGGAAAAACGAAAAGTCAATCAGATTTTGAAAAGGAAACTGAAATGAATTTAATTTTCCACAAAAGTGAGAAGAAAATACTGACAATGAATCGCTTCAGTTCCGAATGTATCCTCAAAAAACTCTCATGTACGGCATTTACTTCCAAACCATTGAAAAACAGATGGGGTAGAAGATGTCGGCAACAAATTTTGACGGATTATTCAGCTGGATTCCGTAATAAATGATATTGTAAGATAAGAAAAGTGAAAAGTCAATGGAAAAGATAACGTTAACGTTCTTTTGCATTTCGATCTGTTTAATCTTCACTAGGCTGTAGGGAGGAATAGATCTGTTTTCAAAATTTGGAGGGATGCTAGGAATCATGGCAGCCCCTCGAGAGGCAACAAATGACTCTGGAGGTGCGCCATCTGCCTACAAAACCCTCCCGCACCTTCGCCGAGCATTCATAGCTCTTCATCAAGACGTGACATTCATTTGAAAAAAATTGAAATCCTCAAACTCTTGTCTCTTCGGGGCGACGGCACGATTCACTTCTGTGATCGATCCCCTTTAGTCACCAGTTACCAGTATTTCTCCCCCCCCCCCCCCCCCCCCCCCCCNCCCTTTAGTCCCCAGTTCCCAGTTTTTCCCCCCCCCCCCCCGCCCCCAGCACCCGCTTCTGAGCCCTCTCACGTCTAACCCAATGGGCCAATCTTATTCTAGCTTCAACGCCAACGAGGAGTGCCTCTCTTGCGTGAGTCCCTGTGCAACGAAAAATCGATAAACCCCACGGATTCACGGCACAACCCGGCTACCAGGGTTGGGCATATCTCGCAGATGGAAGTTTATGACGTGACATTGTCAAATACCGATAATTTACCTCTGGGGCGTCAAAAATGTCAAAAAGTGTCAGAAAGCTCTTTACAAGGAAGCTAAGCTAAAAAGTCACAAGGGTCAAAAGTGAGAGGAACATCGGCCGGAAATCGTCAAGATCAAACGATCACGAGGGTTATCCTCGCGAAGGTTAAACATCGCAAGGGTTATGCCTTCTTAGGGTCAAACGTCCCAAGGGTCAAACAACGGAAGCAATCCTTTAATCTGGAGGGTGAAACTAATAAGAGGATCAACGGGGGACGCCAGGCGGTACAATTACAAGGTTCCAACGGTCATAAAGTTTAAACAAAAAAAGCAAGTAGGTTCACAAGGGTCAAACAGGTCACTAGGTCACGGCCTAGTTATCCTCATTGACCCTTATGATTTACCTACTTTGTGATTGTTTCTTGATCGTTTGTGATTTTCCTGCTTGCCTGCGTCTTAATTTTAACTCTTGCGATTTTTCAACTTATCTTTCCTGAAGGCAGAACAATGACAAGGGTGGAATGATCATGAATTAAGAAAAAATAATCTGAAACTATTCCGTTTGGTCTTTGTTGCAACAGCTAATGATCATTTGACGCTCGCAAGTTATGATTGTGACGTTTGACCCTCGCAAGTTATGATTGTCACGTTTGACCCTTGCGAGGTATGACCTTTGCGACGATTGAACCTCGCGAGGCATAACCTCAGTGGGTATGATTTTTTCGAATTTTTACCCTTGTAACTCTGACAGGCGGTATTCTCGGTAAAAATCTCCCGGTTCCCCAAGGTGCTAATAGATGGCGCCACATAGGTTTTTGACAGGTCAAAAAACCGACAACTCGCCCGGGTAATTTACCTACTTTATGACCGGTCAAAAACCATGTAATTTACCTAAGGTAATTTACTTGCCCAACCCTGCCGGCTACCATGACTTGCCCTTCGGGTGTGACTGAATTGCATCCCTTTAACCGTTGGCATGGAAAATGGAAAGAATGTGAAAA